CCTGCTGCTACAAAACACTCCACCAGCCTGTCTGCAATCTGCTGCAGTCTGCACACACACACACACACACACACACACACACAGACCACTGAGATTTACTTTTTCATTTTTAGTCCTCAAAAGTACTTCAAGATATGAAATGTATATATTTTTAACAAGTAGAAAACATGGTTGAAAGAAAAGTTCAAAGTGATACTTGCCAATAACTTAGTTTATTTAATTTATTCAGGAATATCAGTTTAAGTAGAGGAATGCATTCATGTTTCTTCTCATTACCACAATCATTTGCAAATGATTACAATTTTTATTAAAAAATGAGAAGATATCTTTTTTTGTCCATTTATAGTTACATTTAATCATGTGGAACATCTGTGAAACAAGTCAGTTCCTCTTATCACTTGCATTATAAAAGCAATGAACAGTTGTTCCCTCACCAGCTTCTCTTTTTTTCCTTTTTTGTCGAAGTTAATAAGACCCAAAAAAAAAAAAAAATGCAGCTTGTCATATTACCAGAAACCAGAAAGTGCAATCTCTGTCCTGGGGTTGTCTGAAATGTTTGTGTCAGAAAACTTACAGAAGAAGTTACAGTTTTTTAATCTGCTTAAGTGAACTGAAGTCCCTGTGCATATTAATATAAACTTTGCAGCTGGAACTATTGCCTGAGCTGCTGTTATAGAAAATTAATCAACACCGTCTGACCAATCAGAATTGAGGATTTAACAGAGCTGTGGTATAATGAAACATAACCACCAAAACATTGTTATCAAATTATATTTTTCAAAATTATTAGTTTTTGCTATCGGCCATAAACATTCATATTACTGTATTGGTAATCTGAGGTGTGCTACTCACTTGTCAGAGCCATCCAGAACACATATTTTAGCATACAGGACGTCCACCATGGAGGGATCATCATTCATGTACTCTATTCCTTTTACCTCCAGAGCTAAAGGCTTTCCTTCTGTTATGTCCCTGTATGAATACACAGTACAAAAAAAGGCTTTTACCGGAACATAATATTCATTAGGAATATTACAGTATACAGCAATTTCCTCCATAATTCCATAACTCTTAAACTTCACCCAGGATAACTGTTCTTTCTAAGCTGTTTCTGTTCATTTAGGTGTTTCTGCACTGTTCTATTAGGATTTATAACAGAGACATCTAAAAACTAACAGGTGAATGTTACAAAGATTTAAGTAAGCACGTACGTTTAGAAGAAATTCAGAATATTTATAAAAAAAATTCAACTGAAGACTCAAGTCAGTTCTACGCATCTCACACACACACCTGATGAAACTTTGACATTGTGTGAGAAGCTCAGACGCCCGCATCACTTCCTGTTCATTTAGGAGGGCAAGGGTTCCTATGGTGAGGTGCAGCTTCGCTTGATTTTGAAAGATGCTCACATCCACTCCCATATCCTGTACAGAAAGTCAGAAATCAAAAAAAGACAAGAAATTTTGTTTTGCATTTTGTTCATTCATGAACTTATCTTGTCATACACTATGGACTACAGTCAGCTCCAGAAGTACTGGCACCCTTGGTAGGTTAATGACGATGATTGTGGAAAAAGGGCGACAACTTTATGACAAATTATGGAAAAATGATGATGGCTAATGACAATTTTTGTGGAAAAATGGTTTTGTGGTTAAGCTCACACTGAAAATCTGACAGAAACCTAACCTTCAAAATAAAAGAAAATAATTTTTTTTTTTCAAAAATATCTATTTTTAACAAAACCATGGGTTGGGTGGGGGCTGGGTGGCACGGTGGAGCAGTGGGTAGTATTGCCGCCTCACAGCTTCAGGGTCATCGGTTTAATCGTAAGCCTGGGTTACTGTCTGTGTGGAGTTTCCCATGTTCTCTCAGTGTTCACATGGGTTTCCTCCCATTGTCCAAAAACATGCAGGTAGGCAGTTTGGCCATGATAATTTGCTCATAATTGTGAATGAGTGTGTGAATGTGTGTGCCCTGTGATGGACTGGTATCTGGGATGAACCTCTCCGTTTTCCCCCATCTCATCTTACACTGTACTAGACTCTGTGCACAAAGCACTAAATGCAGGGGTGCCAATAGTTGTGAAATCTGGTTCTGGCTGAAAATGTATATTTAGAGAAGGGTTGTAAACGCAATTTACCACAAAGACACCCCCACGCTTCCCCCCCACCCCCGAACAAACCTTTTTTTAACCAAGGTGCCAGTAATTCTGATATGCAGTATAAGACAGATCAGGTAAGTAAAATAATTGAACGTCCATTCATCTATTATCCAGGGATTAATTAATTAAAGAATATTATCAAATGATTTTGTAACACTGCCATTAGTAACATTGTTAAAAGCTTTAAGACAACTTCACAAAGCGAAGTTTACTGCCCACCTGAGAGCACTGATCCAAAACTTCCTCTTTAAAGCGTTTAAACCCTTCCTGAATCTGTGGGTGGTTCAGAGCGAAGGACAGGAAGTGAGTGAACGGCTGTTTCCTGCGGAAGCTCTCGATCAAAACCTCGACACGTGTTACAGCTGACGCTACTGCTGCCTTATGAGAGCCTGTGATCACTGCAAAACCACAGAACAAGCACAAGCACACACTTAGCCCTGCACAGAACACCAGTAGAACACACTGTACACATCCTCAACCAAAAGAACACCACATAAAAAGACGCCACCACAACATAACCACAGTTTTCCATTCTTGTAAACATCAACTGAACATTTTGTGATAAGAAAAAAAAAAGTGTGTGCTCCATCTTGATGCTTAAGATGTTATGAACCTGAAAAGAAACAGTAGATTTTTCCACTTCCCTGTAAAATTTCATTAAAAATGGTAAAGATCTCTAACCTATCGGTGCCTCTACTCCTTGCTTGGGAATACTGATCGTAGTTTTAGTCTCTGCTTCCAGTCGTCTCCGTGTCTCACCTTTCTTTCCAATGATGTACCTTTGGAAAAAAACAAAATCGAATCCCAAAGCAGGTATTAATTTATTATTAAAGGGATCTTGAACCATGACCCTTTGCAAAGCATTCTGATATTTCATCTTGAAGAAAGAACTCATTGTTTAATGGGGAAAAACTGTAGAACTTAAACATGGCTGTAAATCAAAGTGATTATACACTGACTTGTAAAGAACACTCGGGACGTCTATGGCACAGCGAAAGCCCTTGTCTGTCTGCTCAATGTTACTCGTGTCACAGGATTCATCCATGCACTGGTCACTGACTGTAAAACAGCATGATTCAGGATTAAAGTTCTAATGATTGCTATAATATAGGCACTTTGGGCACAAGCTTATAAAAGAAAATCATAAATGATTAAATATATTGTGCAATGCAAGAATGAATTTGTTATAATAATGAAATCAAATATAAATGTAACATAAATGTATTTGTTGTTATTTACTTATTTATGTATTTCAGTAGTTTTTTACTCTGGGATTTATTTCAATTCAAGCATTCGTGACAGATGATATTGGACATGCAACTGAATCTGTCACTTTGACCCATCACCCAGTAAAGAACAATTGCGTGATACAGCTCTGAATGCACAAACAGCGCAGTCACATTAGGAAACACGTCAGTTTGTTCTCTGAAGTCATCCATTTCATGTGAAGTGACTTACATTTTATTTTCAAAATTGTATATTACGTGGTTTGTTTCAGCACAGCTCTGTTGAATCAAATCAAGTCAAACAGAGCCCTCTCTAATTTGATGAATAAAAGCCACAGTTAAAATTAGTCTCATTTCATGTTTCATGTAGCATCAAGGATAAAAAATAAATTAATGCATTGACAAATTATTTACTTACTTAAGTCCACTTTATTAGGAACTCCTGTACACCTGCACTTTCATGCAGTTATCTAATCAGCCAATCATGTTGCAGCAGCACACTGCACAAAATCATGCAGATGCAGGTCACGAGCTTCAGGTAACGTTCACTTCAAACATCAGAATGAATAAAAAGTGTGATCTCTGTGACTTTGATCGTGCCATGGATATTGATGCCAGATGGGCTGGGTTGAGTATTTCTATCATGGGCAAAGACCAAAACTGGACAGTTGAAGATTAGAAAAAAAAAAAAAAGAAGTCACCTGGTCTTTTTCCAGTCTTCAGTTGTCCAGTTTGGGTGAGTCTGTCCCCATGATAGCCTCAGATTCTTGTTCTTGGCTGACAGGAATGGAACCCGAGGTGGTCTTCTGTTGTTGTAGCCCATCCCCCTCAAGGTTTGATGTGTTGTGCGTTTTTCACCACTGTTGTAAAGAGTGCTTATTTGAGTTACTTCCTGTCAGACCAGTCTGGTCATTCTCCTCTGAGCTCTCTCATCAACAAGGTGTTTCAGCCTGCAGACCCTCCGCACACTGGATGTTTTTTGTTTTTCACACCATTCTGTGTAAACTCTAGAGAATGTTGTGTGTTGTCTGTTGTCAGCAGTTTGTCAGCAGTTTTTGAAATACTCAAACCAGCCCATCTGGCACCAACAACCATGCCATGGTTAAAGTCACTGAGATCACACTTTTCCCCCATTCTGATGTTTGATGTGAACATTCACTGAATCTCTTGACCAGTATCTGCATGATTTTATGCATTGCTCTGCTGCCACAGGATTGGCTGATTAGATAACTGCACGAATGTGTAGGTGTACAGCTGTTTCTAATAAAGTGGGCAGTGAGTGCATATTTCTTTTTACACAATATGTTTAAGCATTGTATCATTATTTAACTGTAATTCAGTAAAATATATATCCATAACATGTAACCTGGTCCAGAGTATGAGAAAGCTTCCTCCTCTTCATCTTCATAATGTTCTTCTTTAACAGCATTTTTTCGGTAAATCCTCCCATTGATGTTAATGAGCGCTGGCCTCAATACGTCCATAGCGGGCTACAATTCCTGAAGGCCAATAAACAGCCATGAATAAACATCACATGTGAGTATGTTCACAGAGGACGTTCACATGGTTCAAGTCCAGTTACATTTGTATCAGTACATTTGAATTGTAAATAGGCAGTGGTAGCTGAGTGGTTAAAGCATTAGACTATTGATCGAAAGGGACTTCAAATCCCAGCTCCACCAAGCTGCCACTGTTAGGCCCTTAACGCTGCAAGACCTTCAACCCTCAACTGCTCAGTTGTACCCTGTTCAAATGTAAGTCACTTTGGATAAAAGCTTCAGCCAAATGAGGCAAATGTAAATCTCTAAATCATTTATTAGTGGAGCTAACCTAGAAGCATCTGATGTGATTACCCTGCTGAAAAGTCCAACTTGGTCTGACTAGCTCCTGGGCCGAACTGCTCAAGGTAGTAGTGGACATTATTATGACACAGCAACACCGAAAACTAAACAGCAGCACACTGGTAATCATACACCACTATAATTGATGGCATTATAAACCGTTTTTAGGCTTCAAACTCAGTCCCTTTACAAAAGAGACATAATATTTACAAAATCTACATGCACAAGTCACTTTACATGGTTATACTGCTGCTCAGGACTATTAGCACTATTTACACTAATAAGAATACTGTGCAGGGGGGCACGGTGGCTTGGTGGTTAGCACTGTTGCCTCGCACCTCCGGGGTTGGGGGCTTGAATCCCACCTCCTCCCTGCGTGCGCAGAGTTTGCATGTTCTTCCCTTGCTTCGGGGGTTTCCTCCAGGGACTCCGGTTTCCTCCCCAAGCCCAAAGACATGCTTTGTAGACTGATTGGCATTTCCAAATTGTCTATGGTGTGTGAATGTGTGTGCGATTGTGCCGTGCGATGGGTTGGCACCCCGCCCAGGATAAGTGGTACAGAGGATGGATGGATAATACTATGCAAGAGAGTTTTGTAGTGTTCACTGTATGCTTTGTTTATTTAGTTGTGTATTGTTTATTGTGTAATCTATTTTCTGTGTTTATCGACTTTGCACTGTCTGTTACTGTGCTACATATCCTCATGTCTGACATTGTTTCATGTGTAGTGAAGGACCATGATTCTGGGGTAACTATATTTCATTACATCTGTGATGACAGAAATGACAATAAAGCCTACTTGACTTGACTCAAATGCATGTGATGTGCAGGACAAAATGATGCATTTTTTCTCTCTTCTTATCATAACAGACTTTTTTAGGTCTTAGTCCCAGTGTCTTTGAGCAAACCCATGATCTCACTCCTTATTTGACACATAGTGCAAAAGTCATTATTTCATACACTATGTAGTACTATTGGTCTTGAGGTGTCACATTTATATAAAAAGACAAGATTTAAAATTAAAGTTTGCCTAAAGAAACTGGGATTCAAAAGACATGAAGACTAGTCTGTAGGCAGTGTTTCTGTTCATGCAGGTATTTCAGCTAACTAGCTTGATTGCTTGGGCTTACAGCTACACTAAACACAGCTTTCACCTCACAGGTCAAAGGACAACTTTGGCTGAATCCCATCTCACTCCTTATTTGACATATAGTGCACTAGATATGGTGCAAAAAAACATTATTTCATCCCCTTCAGTATGTAGTGCACTTAGAGAGAGCCCATTGAAACTAGGTATTTCTATCACGTGTGGCATAACAAAAGCAAGACCTATAATACAGCATGTAAATATAGAGAGTCAGGTTATTAAAAAAATATATCTAAGTGTAAAATCTCCATAATATAAACGGGAAATAACATCATACCTACAGTTAAATACCTTCCAGATGCTCCCAAGTAGACTTCCTACTTCCGCTACGTCACCGGAAATGCATGCTCTGCTTCCCTTTGCCGCTCCTCCGAGGCATTAGATGGCGCTGTCATGTACAAGAGTGTGTGTGTTACACCAGAAGCAGCACCAGAACTAGGATACTAAACGACGTAAGTTTTTTTTTTTTTAAATACATTTAATACATTTTAGTGAAACAGCAATTCTTATTTATAATTGTTGAAATTTTTAAATATCTGTGTCCTATAACTAATAAAAGAATGACGAACTATCATACAGTCAGGTCTCTAGCCAGCTGCTTAGCTTGCTAACTCTCTCTGTAAACATTAGCTTGTCCCAGATAACCGGTTATCTAACTAACATCACTTGAACTGATCTATGGTATAAAACATCACTGTAACAACCACTTAAAAATAAACAAAAAACTATATTAATAAACTCACGTGCAAAGCTGAAATGTAGCTATTGCTGGAAAGATATTTGCTGATTTTTAATGTTTTCAATCTGACTAGAAATAGCTCAGCTTTATAGATAAGTACCTAATTCACGTATGATAATATAAGAGAGACTCTATGGCCAAAGGTTTGTGGACGCCTGACCATCACACTCATGTGTGGTTCTTCCCCAAACTGTTGCACAAAGCTGGAAGCACACAATTGTATATATTTTCTTTGTATACTGTAACATTACAGTTTCCCTTCACTGGAACTAAGAGGCCCAAACCTGTTCCAGCATGACAATGCCCCTGTGCACAAAGTGAGATTTATGAAAACATGGTTTGCCAAGGCTGGAGTTGAAGAACTCGAGTGTCCTGCACAGAGCCCTGACCTCAACCCTACTGAACACCTTTGGGATGAAATGGAACGCTGACTGTGCCCCAGACCTCCTCACCCAACATCAGTGCCTGACCTCACTAATGCTCTTGTAGCTGAATGAACACAAATCCCCACAGCCACGCTCCAAAATCTAGTGGAAAGCCTTCCCAGAAGAATGGAGCTTATTATAACAGCAAAATGGCGACTAAATCTGTAATGGGATGTTAACAAACACATATGTGTGTGCTGGTCAGGGGTCCACAAACTTTTAGCTATATAGGGTATTTTAATACAAAAATATTTTGTATTTATTATTGATAAGATAAGCTGTCAGTTTCTGTGGCTAGGTAAAATCTCTTACACCTTATCTGGCATCTACTTGCTCCATTTTCGATTCATTTAATCCACAGGTTTTCAACCCTGGTCCCGGTGTACCCCCTGTACCCCCTGCACATTATTAGTGTTTTCCCTGCTCTAACACACCTGATCAGGTGAATCGAAACTAATATATGCAGGACAAGGCTGTACTCCAGGGCCACCTTTGGGAACCTGTGTCTTAGTCAGGTACCTATCAGATAGTTTACTTTATAGATATACAATATTACTGACTGTAGCCTGTGTGTTGCTATGTACAATCTGTCATCTCTCCTCTATGCCGACCATCATGGTGTCTCCCCAAAGGGACAACTACAGGACCACTACTGACCAGCACAGCAGTGACACTGACATGGAAATGTGTGTGATGCTGACAGTGTTTCAGATGAAGCAGCGTTTTTTTTTTTTTTTTAAACACCTCAAAGTGAACTAGCCAAAAATACCCAGATAAGAGCAGTCCTGTGGTCAGAAACTGACACTGTTGAGGGGCAATAGGTACGAGTAAGACTGTATGCGATGTGTGTGGTATGAAGGAATAACACAATAGGGTGTGCTTTTATAGGAAAATAATCAACTATGGAATGGTGTGATACCACCAGTCCTACTTTTTTTGCTTTATAGATAATGTCTGTACAACAATTTACTTCCTGTTATCATTTCAGTTATAACAGCTATAAAAAAAGATGTTCCCTTACCAGCTTCTCATTTTTCTCTCTCTCTTGAAGTTAATAAGACAAAAAAAACTGCAGCTTGTCCTGTTACAGACAAACAGCAAAGCGCTTTATCCTGACGACTGTCCCGTGTCCGAATACTTAGTTACAGCTTTACCTCTGACTGTTACAAAGCTCTGACACTGGAGACTTGTACATAACAGGAATTATGTACATATTTTTAAAATCCATTTATGTGGAGCATCTGCCATACAAGTTACATGTAAATTGTTACTATAGTAATTACAGCGTATTAATAGAAACCTGTGATTTGTCCTGTAGTCGGCACTATGGTCAGATCTGCTGTTATAGAAAATTAATCAACAACTTATGACCAATTAGAATTTAACAATGCTCTGGTATAATAAAAATATTAGATCACATATCACCTGACCACAAGACCTGTCTTTGTCTTACAAAATATGTATCATGCTATTTTTTTGGCACACACAAAACACTAGTAGAACAGCAGCTGTTTTTAATTAAAACTTGCATTCAATCAGCTATTTGTTATTCTAAGTAACAATGGTATGTACTTATGAGAGTATTGTCAGAAATAATTGCACGTCTCTGTGACTCCAGTAACACTGCTGCACTAATACACTCAGTTCAGCATCACACACACTACCCTGCTGTTTTGGGAAGGATACACCACCCAAATAATATCTGGTTAGTTGTGGTCCATTGATGGACAGGGTAGAAGGGTGCCTACAAACCGCATAGCAACAGATGGTCTATAATCAGTACATGCTTACAAAGTCACCTGTATGGTAGGTGTAACTGATAAATTCACTGATAAGTGTAGATACAAGGTAGGTGTACTTAATATCCTAATAAATCAGCTACACAGAGTAAAGAAGCCATTCTTTCATACCCTTCGTAATGCTCTTATATCCAGAATTGCATACTGAATCCAAATTAGCCTCATCTTAAACATCAAGTGTTGAAGCTATTTCAGAATCGGGGGCTTATATTTGGACTAGACGATCTTTTTTTCACACAGGAAACGCTGCCTTGTGTTGACCTACAGACGTGGACAAATTTGTTGGTACCCTTACAGTTCTTTGAAACAATGATTCATTGCTCCTGAATAGTGATTAAACCAAAAGTCTCATATATTCCTACCTGCCCATAGTATGTGATAGATTAAACCAATAAAATTGTGAGGAGAAATGACTTATTGTTTATTTTACCAAGATAATCTAAAACAGCCTGCATTGCATTCTAATCATGTTTCAAACTAATTGTTTAACCTTAATTAGTGTCACAAGTGTCTTCAATCTTTGTAACAGCCAATCAGCCTATTTAAAGAGAGAAAACGTGCCACTGTGTAGGTTGGTATCATTGTGTGCACCACACTGAACATGGACCAGAGAAAGCAAAGGAGAGAGTTGTCTGAGGAGCTCCATGGAAGAAGATCCAGGAGAACACCATTACTGAAAGAAAAACGTAAAAGAAATCCAGACTGGAATTTGCTAAAATGCATGTTGA